CGGCTAAGAAAAGCACTGCTAAACAGCACAGCATTTATCGAGACCTACTGTTCCTGTCATTCGTGGCTTTAGGCCGAGAAAACATCAATAATAGTGAGCACTATAATAACTATCAGTTAATTGAGTACACCATCTATTAATGTTGTGATGATATTCCATAATTGGTTTTAAGGATTCTAATGACTGATTGCTAGATAGTATCTGAACACAAAATGATTGCAAAATATATTATCATTTATTATTATACCGGTTATTAATTCAATGGTTTCTCTTTATAATAGCGGCCTTTGATCGCGAATATAGACGCGCTTTCGAGTCGATGACACCTAAGGATCAGGAGGGACTCACAGCCATTGATAAGCCGCCATCCATTGGTATCATATTCTGTCGCCGTTTCTTCAAAGAGCTCCAACTCAGACCACAATCGGACACTACTTTGCTCACCAACTCTATCAACAAGTGATTGTTTTTTGCTACAAAAGTTGACTCGTTTGTCTATTTTACGCCTATAATTACATATATTTTATTTGTTTACTAAATACCTAGAAATGAGTTTTATTTTTGTTGTGTTTTATGGTTTTATGTAACTTAATTATAGTTAAATTCTTGTAAATAATGTTTGACTTAAAAATACTGTCCAGAAATGCATTTAATTTATTAAAGTTTTTAAATTTTATAAAATGGTTAAGAAGTATGTCTGACAATCACAATGATTGCATGCGTTGATGACATTAATAGTAATTGAAAACTAATTAATTTATAATAAAAAACTAATTTTTAATTGCAATGTTTGCTAAATTAAATGAATTGTACCGACAATGTAGTCGTACGGTAAGGTTAGTGTAAAACTGGTAGACGTTATTGATGTGTTGACCGCGAGTATTGGACTCAGTTATGGTTGAAAAATGTCTGACAATAGAAACTCACGACAATTGAGTGACAAAAACACAATTAAATCAAACAAATGGTAAGTATTAAGTGATTTGCTGATGATTTGACATTAAATGATACGATAGTTGACTAATGGCTGCAATGGTTTGATTGGATGTAGCGATGAAGTGATGGAGGCCTCTGTGGACGCCACCAAAGAGTCGGCCATTAAACTGAACTCAAGTCACAAGAAGTCCCACAAAAGCAAACACAAGAGGCATAAGAATTCAGATTCAGGTCATGACAAGTGCTCTAAGCATTCGTCCAAACACTCGAAGAAGTCGAAGAAGGATAAGAAGAAGGAGAAGAAGCCGAAGCCTGTTGTGTCCAAATCGGACGAAGAGTTGGAGGAATTGATTAAACGGAAGAAGGAGTTGGAGGAGAAGCTGAGGGAAGAGGAGCTGATGAACACCTGTGCCAACGATTCCAAGACTAGTCACTCGACCACAAGAGGCAGCGAATCAAATGGCGATCAATTGAATGGTGTGAATGTGAATGGATTCATAGGTAATGACTTAAAAGATAACGAATTGAGAGCTAAAGATAAGCAGAAGAATGTATCGAAGAGTTCGAGAGATGAGACACTTCTGGACTCTAACGACAGGAAAAGGAAATCAAATAACGATTTAAACAAAAACGACAAACACTTGAAGTCGAGTGAGAAGTCTATTAAATCCGAATCCAAACCGAAAAGCGTTTCCAAAGACAGCTCGAAGTCTAAGGAAAACCGAAACACAAGAGAGACCTCTAATAGAGATAATAACAAAGAGGACAAGAGTTCAAAGGATCCGATGGTTAAGTCAACCGAAAGTTCAAATACAGGCGACAAAAGACAACATTCCGAAGACAAGCATCACGTGAAGCGCAGCAGAAGTCGGTCCAGAGATGACCGACAGAGACGTCAGACACCGGACAGGAGTATACTCAATTAACTGATAGTTATTATAGTGCTCACTATTATTGATGTTTTCTCGGCCTAAAGCCACGAATGACAGGAACAGTAGGTCTCGATAAATGCTGTGCTGTTTAGCAGTGCTTTTCTTAGCCGTCAATTTAAGGCGTTCAGTGATTAATAGTTTCATTGGTGTCGACAAATCATTGCATTGAATGGATGTTATTATTTGTCGCATTAAACCTCGCGTTAGTTTGCGCTCATCGGTGACCAACGCGTGCACAAGAGGTGATCCCAACGCTAATTATTATATTTAGACATTGTATTAGAAAATAATTTATATAGACTTAAAAATCTAAAAAATTATAATAACTCACAGGACTCGAGCCATAGTCTATGCAAAGGACTGCTTCCAATGTCTTCGTGAAGCTTCTCGTTATCCCACATACAACGTACCGATACTTTTTGGTAGTCATTAAGTTTAAAATTCTCTATGTTTTGTGTCTATAAAAGATAATAATAATGAGATAACAGAGCCAACAATGGCTATGAATTAAGAAATACTTTATTTTTGTTGAAAGTGTTGGCGTAAAGACATAAGCCGTGGAGATGTGAGGGAAGGTTAACGCGTTTGAAATACCAAATTAAGTTCCAGTATATGATGGGGTGTTCGTCCACGAACTCAGGTTTGGCGAGACACAGGTCGCCCTCATTGCTCAGTACGTTCTCAACCTCTTTGCGCAACACTAATGGACTCAAATAGGGGACAGTTATGGGCTCTAAAGACGACGAGCTCTTCGATTTAGAGAATTGTTTCTCATTTTGACTAATGGTTTGAGGAATGCTTTGTTCACTATTTGAAGAATCGATCACTTGTTCAGACGATTCATTCAAATCACTTCTAAACATAGAAATAATAATTTAAGTATTTGTTAAAAATATAATTTTAGAAGAACTCACTCTTTCGGATCAATTATCTCTTCGTTTGCTTCATCTCTTAAGTCCTAAAAATACAATTAATAATTCATTAAACAACTCATTAATGAATATAATCATAATTCTTACTTTGATTATAATGGTAAGTAACGGAACAAACTTTGAACTACAGAACGAACAGTTAGTGTTCAGATTAGAGTCGTCGGGAGTCCAGCCCTCCATAATCTCCTCGTCATAGATGAGTGCAAAACATGTATAACAACGCGAACACGAAGTCATCACAACCTCCATCACAATGGGAACCGTCGGCACATTTGGCTCCAATGAAGTAGAATAGTGTTTCTCCAAGAGTTCAAACAGTGGGGAAGTGCTTGAATTACTACCAAAACCAGTGAAATGGCGGCTCAGACTGCCTTCACGGGACCGCTCACTCATGTCGTCTTCAGAAGCAAAACTGTTTCTTCTCATATCAAACGAGTTATTGCTGTCACAGTCGTCGTCATCGAACACGAAATTTGAGGGAAACTTTTCGGCCAACTGTGACGCCCATTGAGACAACAGATTTGCCGTTCCTGTCGCTACTCCCGTCACCACACCTGACGTATTGGATGTGTTCATCAGCTTTGAAGGTGAGCTCGTGGTAGAGGATCCCGAATAAGCCAATGAAGACTTCAATCCACTGAAACGATTGGCCATATTATTGGCCGCAGATTTAATGGTTGAGTAAACATATTCTGAATGTTTATTGGCCGCCAATCTGTTAGTCCACTGAGAACTGAGGTTAAGTAATGAGTTTTCTCTACTGTTATCGTCTTCCGTTCCCAAATCGTCGAGACTTTCAGTCGAAATGCTTTCTTTGCTTTCAATCACATCAGAAGTTTTTGTTTTCTCAAATTTAGTCTCAAAATCTGTTTTACTATCCGTTAGTTTGGAGGGCGAGACGGGAGGCAGTGTTGAGGAACGCGTCAAACCTTTCAGTTGAGTCGCCGAATCGGATTCCGTTTTCTGGAGATCTCTTCTAAAAAAGGCTCCAATTTTGTTGAGTGTCTTTTCGGATGAACTATGGTTTGTCTCATGAAATGTAGAACTTCGGGATATAGTCGTCTTATTAGAGGGCGAAGACTTTGCAAATCGACTGGCGATTCGAAAACTGGACCTAAGAGTTGAGGCAACTTTACCCTCCGGTGAGAAGAGTTCCATATTCATGAGCGCCTCCTTTATTGGGGTAAATGAAGACAATCCCTCTTTGTTGGTATTAACACCGCTTTTTGAAGAATCCGCTGATTTCTCGGAACTCTTATTGGAATCAATCGTTTCTGAGCTCTTATTTGTAAGTTTAGAGTCACTCGACGTGACAGAAGATTCGCGAACTGTTTGATCAGTCTTTTCATCGCAAACCTCTTTAGATTCAGGAATTAATGATTGACTTAAATTGTGTCTCCAATTCTTCATCACTTCCACTTCACCATCAATTTCATCGACACCTTCTTCTTCGGGATCTTCAGTACAACGAGAGAGTGCACCGACTTTTCTAAACGTATTTCCCGCAGAAGGGATCCTTTTGTGGACATCGGAATCCTTTTCCACAGTCAGTGGTCTTTTAAAGTCACCGCTATTTTGTTGCAATTTCGATGTCAGTCCTCTCAGCGCATCGAGTCTTAGTTTTTGAACGATTTTCTCGTCGTTTCCAAAACTATATGATCTGAGGTATGGTTTCGGAGAATTTGAATTCAAAGAAATCACATTTGTATCCAATTCTCGATTCCCATCTTTGATGTCATATTCAGCACTTTTGTGTCTTCTCCTAAGAAAACTCTCGTCGCAATCGATTCCATTGCAAAACTTTGACAAATCAGTAGTCATGAGAACACCGGCAGCGCTGTCGAAGTCATGCAAACAATTGAGTTTTGAACCCGACTTTCGCACAATACTTCGCGTCCGTTCTCTGAAAGCATCGGATTCTTTGAAATCTCTAACAATTTCATTGACTGCTGGGATTTGTTCAGAAGTGATTGACTCCGTATTAGTCACATATCCGTAATCCGAAGAACTCTTAATTGAATTAGTTTTGGTCTCCGATTCCACCACTCCTTCCACCACTCCTTCCGCAGAGCTTTGACTCAGTTTTGTGGCTCTAATTCGTGTGTTTTGTCTGAACTGAGCCACACCTACGATCACATTTCGCAGCTTATTCCACATTAGTTGGCCATTGGTGTCACCGGTGGGCCATTTGCTCTCCAGCACAGCCTTATTGTAATAGCCGTAAGTGATTGCATTGGGAGTTATCTTTTGGGCTTTCATTTCAAACAATACTTTGACGGCTAAGACGGGTTCGCTGTAAATACCGCACAATAACATCATAACACGATAGCAGACCTCATCGGACGGATGAAAGCCGAGTGATTGCATCCGCAAGAGTACATCGAAGGCAATGCTTAATGGTTTGGGTTTGAATGCAGCGCTTGCTTTGACATACGCCGGCAAATNACAATAACATCATAACACGATAGCAGACCTCATCGGACGGATGAAAGCCGAGTGATTGCATCCGCAAGAGTACATCGAAGGCAATGCTTAATGGTTTGGGTTTGAATGCAGCGCTTGCTTTGACATACGCCGGCAAATGATGAAACCATAGACTATAGCAATAGCTTAAGAGGCACTTCGACCACGTCATGGGTGAGTCGGCATGTCTTCGAGCGATCTTTTGTGCACTTCTTATCTCTTGTTTGGTTCGCTTAGACATAGGACTCGACGGACCAATGATTGATGAGTTCTCCGAGAGTCCCACTTCGCTCTCGTTGATAAGGGATCCGATTCGTGATAATGTAGGAAAAGTTGGCATTTTATGGAATAGGAGGGGATCTAATGGACCGAATTCTTGATATGTGTACTCATCGTCGGCGGAAATGGGTTCGGGCGGAGGTATGAAGACTGTCTGATCGCTGTGTATATAATCACCGAAATCTAATAAACGCAATGAATTGGAGTCAACGGAATCTCCCAAACAATAACATCATAACACGATAGCAGACCTCATCGGACGGATGAAAGCCGAGTGATTGCATCCGCAAGAGTACATCGAAGGCAATGCTTAATGGTTTGGGTTTGAATGCAGCGCTTGCTTTGACATAAGCCGGCAAATGATGAAACCATAGACTATAGCAATAGCTTAAGAGGCACTTGGACCACGTCATGGGTGAGTCGGCATGTCTTCGAGCGATCTTTTGTGCACTTCTTATCTCTTGTTTGGTTCGCTTAGACATAGGACTCGACGGACCAATGATTGATGAGTTCTCTGAGAGTCCCACTTCGCTCTCGTTGATAAGGGATCCGATTCGTGATAATGTAGGAAAAGTTGGCATTTTATGGAATAGGAGGGGATCTAATGGACCGAACTCTTGATATGTGTACTCATCGTCGGCGGAAATGGGTTCGGGCGGAGGTATGAAGACTGTCTGATCGCTGTGTATATAATCACCGAAATCTAATAAACGCAATGAATTGGAGTCAACGGAATCTCCCATTGACTCCAGTTTTTCGGAGCACTCGTCAAAAAAGGCTAAACTTATGTTTTTGTCGGAAACGAATGATCGCTCTTCGATAAAACGCGTAAACATTTGGGTCTTCATTATTGATGAATAAAATTTGTGATAATTTTTGTCGCGAGACTTAAGAAACCCTTGCATATCAAACAGAGAGGTGGGATCAGTGGCCCCGACAGTCGGCGCACGAGTTATCGGTAGTAGATATGAGCGAAAATTTCTAAGAATGGTTGCCATGAATCGGATGAACGCTTCTTGGATTTCAAACTCTAATTTCCTCTCCATTTTCTTTAGCCTAATATTATCATTGAATAAATTGGTTCTGGATTTTTGTGCCGAACCGTAGGCGCCGTTAGCAGCGGGTATGGGCCGGACTAAGCGTTCAAAAAGCTTTTCGAGTGTTTGCTTGAGAACTCTTGTGGGCTTTTTTGGCATAATTTTAGGATTAAAGAGACGTTTGCTTTCAGATAAATAGATAGAATTGGTGTCCAAATCAACTGATGCCACGTCTATGGGGGGCTCAAAGTGATCGAAATACCGGGAGTCGACGCCAACTATGAAGGGAAGGGGAGCGTTGAGTACATCTGATAAGCCTATCGGACACATCGGTATATAAGGGCACTGCCAGTGGAACGGGAATATCATTGTGACAACAGCCTCGGCAACACTTGTCAACACATCCGGTCGTAACGAATGTAATAATAGTTTTTGTTCAGTTAATGCAAACAGCAATACATGCAAACAGTTTTCTGGGCCTAAATTCCTAAGCATTTGTGTGAATGAAGCGCCCGTTAGAGCCAAAGGCATATACTCTGGTGGCTGTGATATAAGCACCGTTTCGTCCGCATTGGCACCCAATTGGACCAAAATCTTGGGTCTATTCGGTAATGGAAACGGGATTTCTAGCATAAAATTAGAGATATATCGCTCTAAAGGGATCTTCTGAGGCGTCGCCGCCGATGTGACAAAAGTCTTGTATAAAAACAATAAAAATCGTTCAAAAGTGTCGAAAAAAGGCCACCGACTCAGGATTGATATCGATTTGATTCTATGCAATGATTTGGTGAGTCTGTCCTCTTCTGTACCATAAGTCAAATGCGATAATTCTTTGTCACTGAGTCTGTGGTCCACCAGAAGCTCATAGAAAGTGACGGCCGCGCCGTACACCTTCTCAGCCGAGTCTGACGTTAAGACAAATGTCGAAAATATAGGCTTAGGCTGTTGTGCCCGTTTGGGCCAACACTCTATTGTGGCCCCCATTGGGAAACAAAATAATGACACCGATTCCGGTAGTGAATAATGCGGGTAATCGTCTAATGGGAACCGACTTATGATTGACGGTCTATAGCATAGCAGAGGCGGTCGATTCATTGACTTCTTATAGCATATAAACACATCCGAACCAACCATTCCCTGATTGGGACATAAGAGTTAACATTTCATACTCAATGCATACACTATTAGGAAGTGTATTAAACGCTAATTATGTGCATATTTAGACAATTTATGTCCTAAATATTTATAACTCAAATTGATTTGATTCCCCATAAAACATAATGCAATTTCATATAAATATTCAATGTTATAATAAATTTAATTGGGAATAAAAGTGTTAAGAATTTCATTTCCTATTATAATAACAATTCTGAGAAATTGATGTTAAGGTCAATAAAATTGAACACATGTTTAACGCAATATTATTAATATAATTATCTAAAGTGGGAATCAAATCTAAAACAGTGTTAAATACATGAAAATCCTATTTCTTATCGCAAAAATAATTGCATTACATTTTGTCGGTTCTTCTCAACAAACAAATAATCATTTCTATTATATTTTAATTAGAAAATCATTGCAAATATAAACTTATACTGTCAATTCAAAACAAACAATTGTGCAATGATGCTTTCCATTAAAAACATTAAATCGGCGCAAAAATAAACAAATAAAACATTTGTATTATAAAAAAACTAAAAACTAAATCAATAAATGGCTGAACACTTACTTTATTGAGATTTTTATTGATGAGACAGAAGGCATGAGGGGGTGACTCTCCCTTATTGGCTAAAATGACACAAATATCCTTAACCACTAACTGATTGCAGGGGGCGTTATCGCGGGCCCTCCGGAAGGTGAGGAAAGTTCGGGAACCGCTGTTATTGACATTCGCGGGCTTCCCGTAGAAGGTGTTCTCGACGATCTCGCTGTCGGCCATCACCCGCTCCTTCCCCTCGTAGAGGACACCGATGTCGACGAGCGGCGGCTTATCTCTGCCTCGTTTGTAGCAAATGAAAAGACTGGGACTCCGGAGGCTTCCGTGGTTCAGGTCCGCCGGGAAGCCCATTGGCGTCAACTCTATACACGTGTAGCCGTTGGGCACCACTTCACCAGCACTTCGGATGATGACTGTTATGTCGGTGATGGGGGCGGACGGCGTCTGCACGGACTTCGGCACCGATAGCCTCTCCTGCGATAAGCTCTCGTCAAAAGTGACACCACTTTCGCCCGAAATGCCGGACAACACAAAGTAGTCGGCGATTCGCTTCTCGTCCATCTTTGGGCCAATTCTTCAGTCGATTATATTTCCTGTCAATTACCACAACAACTGGTTAGACATCAACACAATTACACAATTGGTGTGACAATTGATTTATGGGGTAAACCCATGACATTGAGTCCATATGTGAGTCAAATATGTCATGAGTTTGTCACTGAAATACATATAAAAGTGATTGAAATGTGAAATAATGATTGCATTGAACCACAAGTGTCTGAAAGCTATGAAAACGTGTTTCTCTGATATATGGAGACAACTAATGGTCGCCGATATCGCCTTCAATGGTCTCCTCATGGGTTTGGTATCAACACAAACACTGAAATCACATTTGTCTGGATGGGTGTCCACACAGACGACAATCGGTGTGTCAGTGGCTTACCATTGAAATGAGTGATCTGTGAGACATGTGACTCATATATATCCGCCGATATGTTGATTGTAGTGAACAAAGCGTACAAAAGTTGATTACAATTGCAATTAAAGTGCATTCAAATGATGATTCATTTCTCATACAAACCATTGTTTATAATGAGTGTAACGTTTGCGCACTCTTTCATGAACTATTGACACTGTATTTACGATTTGGAAATGAATGCACACATATGAGGGCCAACACACACATAGCGTTACATTGAGCCCCCCTTCGCACAAAGTTTGCAAAAATTGTAGTGATTGTCAGTTTTGATATTTTAGCATGTTATTGTCTACTCATGCGAATGCATCACTTGATCCCATATTTATTGGATTGAAAAGTGAGATGAAAGTGAAGGACAATCGCTTGTCTGGGCTTAACATCTAACCAATACTTGTTGATTACAATCATAATATGTTTTGTTTTTCACTCAATAGGACTTAAGCCAATTCCACTAATATGTCACTGTAAATAGATTTAGTATCAAAACAAAATTTCCGTCAACGTAAATACCCTGGTACTTTTTTCACTGCCTTCCACCATAGAATTGATTCTGGTTGTCATTTACGAGAATAAATACCAGATTTAATTATCTTTAAATAATAGCTTATTTCTCGTAATATAGTGTTTATTCTCGTCACCAAAGTGGGGAAAATGAGGACAAAAATATAAATTTAAAAGTTCTTTATTTTCAACAAATATCATATCAATCGATGGTTTCATTAATATATCACATAATATATAATATAATAACAAAATCGCTTAAATGCGAGACAAATATATGTACAATGAAATGAGTTAATATATATATTTGTAAAATGAAATTGATTTATATAATGAATGGCATAACTGATGAGTTAATGGCAAACGAGTTGAGAAAAGGATTGGATTGGGATTTGACTGCAATCAGAAATATCATAAACTATCATTTTATGAAATCATTTCTATCAAAATGTAATGAGAATTGTCTATAAAAATTTGTCAATTAATTTAATTATAGGCTTATATTAAATTTAAGTTAAATGTCATGATTAGTAAACGTTTATATTTTTTCCTAAAATATTCAACTGATTCTCAAGTCTCTGTAAAAGTGATTCAATCATTAAAAGACCCATAAAATAGTAGTAAATAATAAAAACAATTTCTTAAAACATTTTGAATGTAAAGTCAAAATAAGAGACGAAAATGCATTCCTTTCCCTAATAATCACAGATTGAAAGAAATAAAAATACGTTTTATAGACTCAAGTAAACAGAAAACCATTGAAAAGCGAAGCAATTGTGAACACTTTTTACATATTTTAGGCACTGAATGGCCGCTCATTCGACAGCGAAACCACACGTCTCCTCAATCGCTTGCGTCAACTTCTCGTATAATTTCTCATACGATTCGTACGGAGGCATATCAATGCGGTTGAAGCACGTGTGAGCTTTCGGTAGGTTTACAGTATCCGTGTCTATCAAGTGTATCGTGAAATGTCGCGGTCCCGCAGCCCCTGTCGACCCCTGAAGAGCTTTGAACCCTATTGACAATTACAACAATTAATGCAATTGTAATCAAAACACGCGATTCATGAACACAAACCTTGGAGAGGGACGCGAGAACTGCCGGTTACGAACTGTAGGAGTCGTGCCCTTCGCTCTTCGTTGTACTCCTCGACTGCTCTCCAAAACCACTTAACAATATTGGACTCTAAGTTGCAGTGTTTGAGTCGAGTGTTGGCCTTCCAGTCGTCGAGATCTATCTTTCCTAAACCTCCGATAACGAGCTGATGACGAATATAATGAGTTAATCTCTATCTTAAATTAAAATACATTTCCATTTACTTCGAGTTCTTTCTCATCGAATTGGTTGAGGAGGTGTTGGGGACAGAGTTCACAGAAGCCTTTATGCAACGCTTGGAACTGCTGTTCAATTCCATTAGTGAACCTAAAGTTAACGTAAAGTCTAACGTATTCTTTCTTATTCTCTTCGGTCACCATAATATCCCTTCCGTTTGGCTTCAGTTCGTGGACCTGAAGCTGACCGAAGGAGTCGTGGTTTACGGCGAATGTCATGTCAAACACATTCGTTATGTCGTTATCTCTGTAATCAAAATCAATTTGTAAGACAAAATCAAGTCAAAAAATGAGTTTAATATCACTCACAACATCCAACACAGACTTCTATGCAATTCCGGATCAACTGATTCGATGTCATCCAAAGTAATTGATTTGTTTAAAAGCATTTTATAGAAGGGAAGAGTGAAACCTCCGTCAATGTAATGGCCGTGAAATACGGCTAAACCGATGACTCGGCCGACAAAATGGAAATAAGACAAGTGTTCCTAAAATCATAAGAAATAATTATTGGAAATACTTTCGCATAAAATTAAAGCCAAAACTGACCGGATTTATGGCAGAATCTGGATTAATCTGAAGCGTATAAATATCATCTCTCGTGTACTGAAAGAGTCCGTAATATGGATTAAGCATTTCGTGTGACAATAAGTAAAGCCATTCGCGAGCAATGCCTCCGTAGTCAAGACCTTCCTCTCCTCTAAACTTAATCATCAGTCGTTTTCGCAGATCTTTTGGTCTCATTTTGAGTATAGCTCTGTACGACTCCTCGAAGATGTCTTGTCGGGAGACCTCCAGACGGCAGTGACCCGATTGGGGCTGAAATGTCTGCAACTCCTGTCTTAAGGCACTCATCTTCTGAACAAGATTTCGTCGTTGTATTTGAGAACTACTCAAGAATTCGTTGATATTATTATTGCTTAAACTTTGACTAATTTTCTTGTTCTCATCGTTTACTCCATTATTACGATTCGAGCGAATACTGGAAGTTATGGTTAAGACAATAGATGGTTAAGACAAGCAAAATATAGTCCAATCAAATATAACTCACTTAAGAAGGTTCTGAAGCATCAAAGAGTTGGCCACAAGTCTGGGATCAGTGAATTGAGTCGTCCTATTGTTGTGGTCGACGTAATATTGGCGGCCGGACTGGGTTTGTCTCACTTCCCAGCCATTAAGCAGAGGCCCAATGAGTTCATCTAAATTGATACCCTGTTGTATGAGTTCTCGAGGCACTCGAGGGTCGTGCCAAGTGGACACTCCAGTCTCCACGTGATAGAAGTAGACCTGTCCCTGAAGTATGAATACAATTGTATTAAATCGATGAAAACTACATATCATTGAAATGATGTCATACTTGAGAGGTTTGTCGCATTTCGTATCCTTCGGGCAAATCATTGACATTAGAGTTAGAGTTAGTGTTAGTATTATTTGTACGCAATTCCGGTTGAGTTGTGCTTTGAGTTTGTGATCGGTTTTGATGAGAGTTTGTGGAGTTTGTGGCACTCAATACGGCTTCGTGTAAGTGATTGCGCGCCAAATAATTTCGGTGTCGAGTGGATCGGCGCTGATATGGTCTCACAACCGGTGTTTCACTAGTGCTCTGAGCGCCAGAAGCACCGTTTGAACTGTTATTCCCGTTATTGTGTTCAGTGTTGTTATGATTATTGCGACGAGAGTTCACTAACGTGGAGGTCGTGGGTCTATCCCACTGCGTAGCCCTGGCCTCGTGGTTCACGTAATACACTCGGCCTGAAGAGGTGCGACACTCAGTCCACCCCTCCGGCAGGTCTTCGTTATTGAGGATACAGTTCTGAGAATTAGAGCCCGAATTGGAGTCAGATATGACCACATTCTGCAGACGCCCGCCCTTCAAAAAAATAGGCTTTTTATTAGTATAATAGCCTTCCCATTCCCGACCCACCCCCGAAACCTGATAAATGATCTTTTATTTACCTGTAATCGGCTCCCATCCCTCGATAGCAGACTGATAACCAACTGTCCCCTCACTATGTCCGGGTCTTCTTCGCGAAATTTGTGTAAATCTAGTCTTTGATCTGTTCGTCAAAATGACAATGTTTTACATATAGGGCTATATTTATCATATGTTTAATATGAATTGTTTGTGTAAATCATGAAACATCTGTACAAAGGTGTGTCTAATACGGGGAATCAAATATTAGCAAAAATTTCCTCAAAACTATTTTCACATTTCGTGAATATATACGGAAATGATTGGTACAGATATATTAATTGCAAATATTGCTCATTAGTCGGCAAAAAATAAAAGCAATGAATAAATGAAAAATATTTGCTATAAATAAACAAAAATATAAGATATTCAGCAAACAATAGAGTAATCATTATATGAAAAGTGGAGACAAAAACGGAAAGTAATGTTTCATGTCTTACATCCGGTATCCTTAAGGCTTTGTATAGCGTTTGGCATAATCTTAACGCAGCCCAAGAAGCCGGCGCCGGCCTTCTTATGGACCTTCTTCTGGTTCCAGATGCTAATCGTCACCGAATCTGATTTGCCAACATATCTGACAACACAATGGTCTCAGCATTAGTTATCACCACAAATGAGACAATAGTCAACAGTCTTACAGATCGTAGTGTTTGTTCCACTTTGGACTCAGTGTGTCCTTCGAGGCATCGGTTGAGTGGCACTGACCCGAGCCGTCCACACAGATCTTGCAGAAGGGGTCCGGAAGACCTGTGAGACACAATCACATCATTACGTACACCATTAACCACTACTTCATCTCATTATCCATCATCTAATCTATCATTTCTATGCATTCACTTAATGTCTAATATATACTACAATTCATATCAATATTAATCATAACTATAATCATAAATAATTCAATCATTAAATGACAAGTGATTTGCAAATCAAATGAAAGCCAAAACTCACTGAAAAAGTCTCTTTTGACCAGATTTTTAGCGCACAATACTATTGGTTATGAAATATAATGCATTAATAATACAATCAATCAATGGATCCGTGTCTTGAGCACGACATAAGCGGATCCATTGGGTGGTGATAATCAGTGACCACTTACTGGTGAGTCTTATTTTCATGGATCCATTCCTGCGATTGGTTTGTGTTTGTGTTGCCATTTGTGTGGACACAACGACAATCACCGCACAGATTCAGTGGCGATCACTATAGTGGTGGCAAATGAGACAATCAGATCGTGTGAGACAATGACAACATGATGGTGATGGCAAATATGAGCTGGATCAGTATGAAAATAGTCAACACACAGGGTATAGTGCTATTCACTGGCATTCACAGCAATTATAGGTGTTTTGTGTTCAGTGCATAACTCCACGCAAATTGCTGTGGAACTCAATGCCTGTGTTGGCAATGCATGGGCGCAACAACTGCTACAATGAGACTGGACTCAGACATACCTTTTCCGACTCAACATATTATTATTTTTTATGAATAAATTACTGTTTGTCTGACAAAACAATCTCATAATACAGTCAACACATACAATAGGCACCGATAGTTGCAATGCATATGATGTCCAACGAGTGTTTCTACCACTTTATGGCAACTATTGGCGTACAAATGAGATTAAAAGAGGTTTAACCACCAAATCATACTATACTTCAGCCATATTTCCATGAATACATTGAAAACAAAACTTTTTTTTTCTATACAAGTATTGCCCCAAAGGCTGATCACAAGTGATGTCTAGTCGCGAGTGTTAGTGCACTGTCTGTCAGATGCCTGTCCTCTCTCCCTATCCCTATCCCCAGACAACACGATTGCACTGACTTTGTCTGACAGTCCATCACCACAATTGAATCAAACAATTCATATGAAGTCTTATTTGTCATAATTTGTCTCAACTTTTTGATTAACTAATTTACACATAGCTTATGAAAAGCAAACACTTTCTTATGACTTACTTTTGAAAAGCAAAACTAGTTTTTCGTTTTATTAGCACTTCAATGCATTTTATGTTAATATAAGTTCATTAAATATATAATACTTACGGATAATGAATGCTTTTATTTTCCAGTAATTCAGTACTGATTTAATAGCAAATTAAAAGTAATAATCACTTGAACTCTCACTTATTGAGCCCTTAAGTGATTTCAATAGCTTTTGGCAAAGTTTTCAGTAATCATTGGAAAGTGAACTTTGGGAAAAAGTTTTTCAATTTATTTTCATTTAAAGTTTATTCTTATTTTTGATACAATGATTGATCACAAAATTAATTAATTTTAATTACAATGAACTTCACTTCAGAGAAAGGATTTTCAATAATTCTGTGTTCACTACGAATCCAAATGTGAAGACTTATACACTTTACACACCATATAAATGGTGTAATCAATAAATTAGAAGTTATTAAAGATTATAGGAGTATTTAACAATAGAGATAATTTGGTTCATAGAAATTACACTATTCATTGCATACACACTATACAATGCATAAGATTAACATTACTTTCGTTAAACTTTTGGATAACATTAAGTCCTGTATAGGAATAATGTTATTTTACAAGTTCTCTACAGAATCATACATTACAAGCATATAGACATACATGAAAATACAGTATTTAATTCTAGCAAAATTATATGCCATTCATGTCACTGTCTGTTATTATAATTCATAAATTTCTAATCAATTCAGTCGAAATGAATCGACATATTATTTAAATAAATAAATCGTTTATATTCATGTTTTAAATTAGATTTTAATAATAAGATAATAACTCATCAGGAATAATAATGAAAATTAGATTTTAAAATGAAATCACACTATTTTATATAGTTTTTAATGATACAGAATATCAAATTAAAGTAAAGTTACCAATGGCCAACTTTTAAAAAAGTATGTAGCTCTTATATCTATACAATCTAATGCTATGCCTAATATCATATATTAATTAACATCACTATCATGATTATTAAATGAAAATAAATACTACTAACCATAATGATTTATTAGTAATTTTTAAAAAATTACCAACATTAAATTTGGTATACTGTAATGCTAAATCCTTAATACTGTATTAACTAAAATAAAAGTAATGCAAAAAATTTTATACTTAAATTTAACAGTAATTAAAATTGTATGAAACTGGATTTGAAATTTAAATTCACTTAGAATAACATGACATGAATTAGCATTAAATATTAAATGTTGTGCCCATTGAAAAAAGTTGCAAGGTGAAACTGTGACCCACTCCCGTAAACCGTAACAGTGTTTGTGGTTTGGTTTGCATTGAATGAAAACACGTTTTTGCAAATCATTTCAATTTGCGACACATTTTCAAAACATTTAAACTTTCAATTCAATGATTAAGACGTGATTAAACCCTTGACATCCACCTAATGGTCACCGCATTTGTGTCCATCATATCATTCATTTGAAAGACATTTCTTATTCAATAAAACAATTTATTTGTGAAAAAGTTTTGCAAACATTTTAGTGATAATTATCTGAAAGAATGGCAGAATTCCCACAATTAGGCCAACAGTGCTCTCAATGCAAGACATTAGGTATTGAAACCATCGTAAACCGTAACAGTGTTTGTGGTTTGGTTTGCATTGAATGAAAACACGTTTTTGCAAATCATTTCAATTTGCGACACATTTTCAAAACATTTAAACTTTCAATTCAATGATTAAGACGTGATTAAGACATCCATCAGAAGACATGTATTTAATGTATTACTTGTCACCAGAAGGCAAACGTGTGTACACCATGTCTAAAGTGGATCCCATAGGAAGTCCTACCTTTTCGGCTCATCCAGGTTTGTGACCTCCTCTGCCATTCACTCATTCTTTGATTATCTGCTAATGAAAACCAATTGATGTGATGTCTAATTGTCTGAATGATAGCTCGTTTCTCACCCGAAGACAAGTACTCGAGAGAAAGGATTACAATTAAGAGAAGATTTGGTTTACTTCCGACACAACAGCCCTTGACATCCACCTAATGGTCACCGCATTTGTGTCCATCATATCATTCATTTGAAAGACATTTCTTATTCAATAAAACAATTTATTTGTGAAAAAGTTTTGCAAACATTTTAGTGATAATTATCTGAAAGAATGGCAGAATTCCCACAATTAGGCCAACAGTGCTCTCAATGCAAGACATTAGGTATTGAAACCATCGGTGGTATTGTTGACAATAATTTTGAGTTTAATTTAATTTAGATTTTCTGCCATTGATTTGTGATAAGTGTAAACAAGTCTATTGGTATGTCTTGAGATGTCTTCGTATAAGACAATGATTGTTGTATTAAAATATGTATTGTTTTATATGAAGCAAAGAACACCATTCCTTCGTTGCCCACAATTGTCCCGAAAGTGACAAACAGTGGACACCAACGCCGGTCAGCCGTCCGTCGGAGTCTATTTCAGGGAAGTGTTGTTTTTGTAATCAGTCNGACATACCTTTTCCGACTCAACATATTATTATTTTTTATGAATAAATTACTGTTTGTCTGACAAAACAATCTCATAATACAGTCAACACATACAATAGGCACCGATAGTTGCAATGCATATGATGTCCAACGAGTGTTTCTACCACTTTATGGCAACTATTGGCGTACAAATGAGATTAAAAGAGGTTTAACCACCAAATCATACTATACTTCAGCCATATTTCCATGAATACATTGAAAACAAAACTTTTTTCTATACAAGTATTGCCCCAAAGGCTGATCACAAGTGATGTCTAGTCGCGAGTGTTAGTGCACTGTCTGTCAGATGCCTGTCCTCTCTCCCTATCCCTATCCCCAGACAACACGATTGCACTGACTTTGTCTGATAGTCCATCACCACAATTGAATCAAACAATTCATATGAAGTCTTATTTGTCATCATTTGTCTCAACTTTTTGATTAACTAATTTACACATAGCTTATGAAAAGCAAACACTTTCTTATGACTTACTTTTGAAAAGCAAAACTAGTTTTTCGTTTTATTAGCACTTCAATGCATTTTATGTTAATATAAGTTCATTAAATATATAATACTTACGGATAATGAATGCTTTTATTTTCCAGTAATTCAGTACTGATTTAATAGCAAATTAAAAGTAATAATCACTTGAACTCTCACTTATTGAGCCCTTAAGTGATTTCAATAGCTTTTGGCAAAGTTTTCAGTAATCATTGGAAAGTGAACTTTGGGAAAAAGTTTTTCAATTTATTTTCATTTAAAGTTTATTCTTATTTTTGATACAATGATTGATCACAAAATTAATTAATTTTAATTACAATGAACTTCACTTCAGAGAAAGGATTTCAATAATTCTGTGTTCACTACGAATCCAAATGTGAAGACTTATACACTTTACACACCATATAAATGGTGTAATCAATAAATTAGAAGTTATTAAAGATTATAGGAGTATTTAACAATAGAGATAATTTGGTTCATAGAAATTACACTATTCATTGCATACACACTATACAATGCATAAGATTAACATTACTTTGGTTAAACTTTTGGATAACATTAAGTCCTGTATAGGAATAATGTTATTTTACAAGTTCTCTACAGAATCATACATTACAAGCATATAGACATACATGAAAGTACAGTATTTAATTCTAGCAAAATTATATGCCATTCATGTCACTGTCTGTTATTATAATTCATAAATTTCTAATCAATTCAGTCGAAATGAATCGACATATTATTTAAATAAATAAATCGTTTATATTCATGTTTTAAATTAGATTTTAATAATAAGATAATAACTCATCAGGAATAATAATGAAAATTAGATTTTAAAATGAAATCACACTATTTTATATAGTTTTTAATGATACAGAATATCAAATTAAAGTAAAGTTACCAATGGCCAACTTTTAAAAAAGTATGTAGCTCTTATATCTATACAATCTAATGCTATGCCTAATATCATATATTAATTAACATCACTATCATGATTATTAAATGAAAATAAATACTACTAACCATAATGATTTATTAGTAATTTTTAAAAAATTACCAACATTAAATTTGGTATACTGTAATGCTAAATCCTTAATACTGTATTAACTAAAATAAAAGTAATGCAAAAAATTTTATACTTAAATTTAACAGTAATTAAAATTGTATGAAACTGGATTTGAAATTTAAATTCACTTAGAATAACATGACATGAATTAGCATTAAATATTAAATGTTGTGCCCATTGAAAAAAGTTGCAAGGTGAAACTGTGACCCACTCCCGTAAACCGTAACAGTGTTTGTGGTTTGGTTTGCATTGAATGAAAACACGTTTTTGCAAATCATTTCAATTTGCGACACATTTTCAAAACATTTAAACTTTCAATTCAATGATTAAGACGTGATTAAGACATCCATCAGAAGACATGTATTTAATGTATTACTTGTCACCAGAAGGCAAACGTGTGTACACCATGTCTAAAGTGGATCCCATAGGAAGTCCTACCTTTTCGGCTCATCCAGGTTTGTGACCTCCTCTGCCATTCACTCATTCTTTGATTATCTGCTAATGAAAACCAATTGATGTGATGTCTAATTGTCTGAATGATAGCTCGTTTCTCACCCGAAGACAAGTACTCGAGAGAAAGGATTACAATTAAGAGAAGATTTGGTTTACTTCCGACACAACAGCCCTTGACATCCACCTAATGGTCACCGCATTTGTGTCCATCATATCATTCATTTGAAAGACATTTCTTATTCAATAAAACAATTTATTTGTGAAAAAGTTTTGCAAACATTTTAGTGATAATTATCTGAAAGAATGGCAGAATTCCCACAATTAGGCCAACAGTGCTCTCAATGCAAGACATTAGGTATTGAAACCATCGGTGGTATTGTTGACAATAATTTTGAGTTTAATTTAATTTAGATTTTCTGCCATTGATTTGTGATAAGTGTAAACAAGTCTATTGGTATGTCTTGAGATGTCTTCGTATAAGACAATGATTGTTGTATTAAAATATGTATTGTTTTATATGAAGCAAAGAACACCATTCCTTCGTTGCCCACAATTGTCCCGAAAGTGACAAACAGTGGACACCAACGCCGGTCAGCCGTCCGTCGGAGTCTATTTCAGGGAAGTGTTGTTTTTGTAATCAGTCGGTGCTTAAGACGGAACTGGTTTTGTGCGACAAATGTCATGAAAAGCATTGTCTCTCTCATCGACACTACGAGTCCCACGAATGCAAACACAATAAGACGGACCAAAAGCCGGCACAACCCCTAAGAAAGCCTCTGTTGAACGCTTCGGCGCC